TAGACTCCCACATAATAATAGTGGGAGACTTCAACATTAATATTAGACTGATCAATGAGACAGAAAATTAACAACGATATTCAGGACTTGAACTCAGATCTGGAACAAGTAAATGTAATTAACATTTATAGAACTCTCCACTTTAAATATACAAAATATACACTCTTATCAGCACCACATCATATCAACTTAGAAGTTTAAAAGAAATCTTGGTTGGCTCCTTGTTTGTTATTCTCTTCCCTCATTTTCTTTTATGTCTCCATTATTAAGGACAATTATAGGCATACCCATATTTAGACTGCATTCTAGCCCGGGCAATAAAGCAATACCCCCATCCTCTCTCCCTCTTCCTCTTTCTCTTTCTTCCTCTTCTTTATTCTTTTTCTTATAAAAAAAAATAAGCACTCACATTTCATCATTTCCCCATCGTCTGACTGAATCTGACTGCACACCACGTGTGCCAGGTGGCTCACGTCTGTGGCAGCTGCATGGTGGAGTCTGTGTGGTGGCACTGCTGGTCCCTTCTCAACCCTCATTCAGTGATGGCACAGTCATGGGCTTCAAATCAGCCATGGTTGCAGTGTTTACACCACAGTAGGCAAACGCTGTCAATCAAGATTAGATTGTTCCATGGCTCTCTCAGTCTTAGAAAAGAGAGAAATTGCTAACAATGCAGGCTAAACTCTAAAGTACGTTGTGTTTCTGGACATTTATTGCACTGTGATGAGCACAGAAAAATGAGGGAATATCCTTTGAGTATTTGAAAACTGTCATCCAGTTCCTCGAAGGAACCACTCACATAATTGACAAAATGATGATGTTTAGACATATGTCTCTGTTGTTTCATTTCTGTCTTATTCATTAATATAAACAAAAAATAGAAACTGACATTCACATCAGAACTATACTTGTTCATCAATTGCAAGCTCTGACTACAACAAATATAGGAGTTTGACAAAAATTAGCAAAAGTGATCTTTGAGAATCGATTCATCATACAGAATTTGAAATACACAGTATTGTAGATGTTAATGTCAATTGCGTGCTCTGTCTCCTTTATATCAGCAACAACTTCTGTGCATTTCATCACAGAGCTGGTTGCTGAGCATCACCAGCACAGCAGTGTCTCCCAGCTAACGCCAACCTTGACCTTCTGAACCCTCAGCCTTTCCTGCGCTTTCACTGCGTGTGGCCGAACTCAGCCCTGGACCTACAAATGCAGCCATGGCTGGCCTTGACCACACAGGCCCTGAGCAGCTGACAGTGGGGATTGGCACTGCCAGGTGTGAGGCTCTGAGAGGCCTGGCTGAAGACTCAGGCCTTATGAGACAGAGGAATTTGTCGATGGGACCAATTGCCAAGAGGAAGCACCAGTAACAGGTGTGTCAGCCCCGAGTCTTTCCACTCCAGTGGGCCCTCCCCGGGGTAGACGGGTTGAGGTTGACCTGGGCTGCAGCAGGGAAGCCTCTTTTCAAGCTCCTGGTCCTTGACAAGTCCTCTCCTGGACAAGTCCTACTCTGGCTCCTCTCAGCCCTCTAGGACTGACCTTGACATCGGTCCTTCACAGGCCTGCCTGACCCAGCTTTAGCGAAGAGCTCTGTTAAGTCAGGTGAGTGAGGCGCTCCCCACCCTCTACATCAGATCGTGTTCTTCATCCTCCACATCCCCCAGGTGATGTCTGATCACCTGCCTGACTTCAGCCAGAATCCCATTAGGTGGGTTGAGCCAGAATCCCCTTGACCCCTGAGGTTGCCTCTTAGTCATTTTCCAGCCACAGAACCCACCCTGCTCCTTAGCTACAAACCCCCACTTGCCTGTACTGTGTTCAAAATCAAGCTCAGGGCCAGATGCAATGACTCACACATGTAATCCCAGCACTTTGGGAGGCTCAGGTGGGCAGATCACCTGAGGCCAGGAGTTCGAGACCAGCCTGGACAACATGGCGAAACACCATCTCTCCTAAAAATACCAAAAAAAAAAAAAAAACAATAGTCGGGCATGGTGATGGGTGATGTGTGCCGGTAATCCCAGCTACTCTGGAGGCTGAGACTAGAGAATCGCCGGAACCCAGGAGACAGAGATTACAATGAGCCGAGATTGCATCACTGCACTCCAGCCTGGGCAACAGTGAGACTCTGTCTCAAAAAAAAAAAAAAAAAAAAATCAAGCTCAGTCCTATGCTAAAGTCTCCTTTCTCCCATTGTAATGGTCCCAGGTAAAATCTGATTTCAATAATTCAACGACACCCATTTCCTTGGGCAGCCTCTCCTCTCGCCCTCCACTGAGCGAGTTCCAGGCTGGGGGAATCCAACCCGACAGAAGTCTGGCTGAAGCCAGCGTGAGGCTGTCTGGCCAAGGGAATTTGCCTTTTTTAAAACATCATGGTAAAATACGCAAAACACAAAACTTACCATTGAAGAAGTCAGGACATGCCACCCCAAAATATGCCTCTTTGACACACGGATTATTTTGAGCTGAAGACGCTTGAGACACAGCAGGTACAAGAAGGGCCCTCCGATTCTCCCGTTTCCACCTAAAAACGGGTGATAGCATCTCCCTGAGAAAGATGTCCTCCCTGTCACCAGGAAGAGACGAATATCCCATCACCAGAGAATGGGGCTCGGTGCTGAAACGAACCTATAAAACCAGCCTGTCAAGTAACCCCAATCTTCAGGAGTCTCCTGCAGTGAGCTCCCATCCCCTCCCCACACTTTACTGCCCCTAGCCCAGATCTCTTTGTCTCGTCATTTTCTCACAAACTTCTTTGTCTAAAAGGTGGATACGCTGTCTGTTCTGCTCGGTTCTTCATTTTCTTTTTCTTTCTTTTCAATATAACAAAATGTATTTTCATTAGATATTAATTATGAACCAATAATGCATGTCAACTGAATACTTCAAGTCACATTCTGCACAAAGAATTACAGATCACATTTAATAACAAAATGTTTAGTTGTTTAATAAAATGTTTTTAGGAACTTACAATATAATTTTCAAAACCAAAGAATAAAAATATTAAATATATAACTTTATGGCACAGGACAACATAAATTTATGGCAAACTTTTGTGCTAGAAACAGAGTGGAGAAAAATCTAAATTAAAGCATAATGTCAGGAAATGAATGCTCATAAATTTCAGGATAACTGAGGCTCATTATTTATTGTAAGAAGCAAGGGCCTTTGAACACCAGATTTTGTTTATAAAAATAAAAACTTCCTCAAACATCAGATTTTTTTTTACCTCAGCAATTTTTTTTCCTTTGATAATTCATAATCCTGCTGTTTGCCACATTTACAAGTATCTGGTAATTTCATAAACTACCAATGGCACACTTCAAATGCTGAATCTGATTAATTTTCTTCTATTTTGTTTTCCCCCAGCGAGCCTGGGGCCTATGATAGAGAAGCTACAGAAACATGCCAAGATGATCATTGGTCTTAGAGAGACTTTAGAGCAAATATTTAATGAAGGCCACATTTCTAGCTCTAAAGAGCCAGACGAACACAATCCCTGCTTCCAGAGCTCACCATTCAGAATACAGCAGGTCACACACTGATGCTGAATCACTATGACCTTTAATTTCATCTTTCAAGATTTGCATAGATACTGATTTTTTCTGGAAGGGCAAATAAAATCTTCCCATACACACATCATTCTCTGGATTCTCATAAGGGGTATTTTGAAATCTGTTATGTTGACAAGGCCAGTAGATGCTTTTTCTCTAATTGCCTTCTTAAGACTATTTTCCCCTTCAGTCTCTCCCCAACGTATACCTTCTGCACTTTTGTCTGTCCAGTAGGCTTTCCTGTAAAACTTGGCTACACCTTTCTGTTCGCCTTCACGGTTTCCCTCTTCTGCTTTGCGCCTTAACAGAAGCCTGGTGATCTGGGCTTCCCCATCTTTCCTTTCCTGGCTTCTTATTCACATAGGTGACTAATCTTAGCACCTCCTTAAAAGTTGGGTCTTCGATACATAGACCTCATCAGCACTTCTGACCTGCATTTCCTTGAGCATTTTTCTTGATCTTCAGATCTTCTGTGCAATAATACTCTCTTCCTAAATGTTATTTAGAAATATTACCCTTGAAACACCAAAGGTATCTTGAAGGCACTTGTTTTAAAAGTTCTATCAAAAGAGATTGATAAAGGAATGTAAAACTCAACAAAGGAAGCTTCTACTGTATTGGGAATTCCCACCATTGCTAGTTCGGGATTCCACAAGTCCACCATTAAAACCTGGTACGGGACATCAATTCGTACGCATGATGGTTAGATTAAAATTTTAATTTTTTTTGGTTGATATTAAACCGTAATATATAGTACATGAGGTTTGAATCTTAAAAAAAGTAAATGATAAAAATTTAATATAGTTAACTGTTCACTGATATGTGTGCTGACTTCATCATAACCTACATATTTAATTAAAAATTAAAGTATGCATCTGCAAATCAGATCCTATCAAGCAAACTGCCATCCACGATCCAAAATTCTTTTTATCTTTTTAACTCAAATGAATTTATACGATTCAGTAAATTTTAATGTTCCAAATCGTTCTCAAAAAGATTATCAGAAGCTTCCAGTTAGCACAGTTGGCTAATTCATTTACCCCCAACAAAGTACCTTTTTGTGTTGTGAGGTAGCAGTCAAAGACTGCATGGTCTTCTGTGACGGCAGGACCCTTGATTCGTAAGCATTCCCTCTTCACATGGAGAGCACAGGGGAGGGACGGGGAAGGGGGTGGGGAGTTAGGGAGAGATGGCATGGGGAGAAATGCCAGATATGGGTGAAGGGGAGGAAGGCAGCAAATCACACTGCCATGTGTGTACCTATGCAACAATCTTGCATGTTCTTCACATGTACCCCAAAACCTAAAATGCAATAATAAATAAATAAATAAATAAGGGACAGATGAGTCACCTTTCATTACTCATTGACTCTTGCGTTTTCACAGTATGTTGAATGCCTGATTTCAATTTTACAACAACAAAAAATACCAATATTTATTCAGAAAGGCAATGGTACGTTCCAGATAGCAGATATGAACAAGTCTCTAGGAATAATCCGCAGTCCTGACCCACGTTTTAGGGAAACATTTCCAGCAGTCTGTGCAGGATTTATTCCTGTTTCATCATTGGTCATAATTGCACTTGTTACAGCAGAAACTTTAAATTCTTCTACTGCAAACTTTAAGACTGCTGTGAAAGGTGTCCTTTCAGGAACACTGAGTACTTTGTACGGCAGCCGCGGATCCAAGGTCAGCGTGATCTTAAGGGAAACCTTCCACATGGTGGTGTCCGGATGAATGAAACTGGAACACAAGCCAACCCCGCGGGGTAACACTACTTCCTCCGCTGTCCATTTCCGTTTTTTTTGTTTGTTTGTTTGTTTTGTTTTGTTTTCCGAGATGGAGTCTGGCTCTGTCGTGAGGCTAGAGTGCAGTGGCACAATCTTGGCTCACTGCACTCTCCACCTCCCGGGTTCCAGCAATTCTCCTTCCTCACCCTCCTGAGTAGCTGGGATTGCTGGTGCCCACAACCACACCTGGCTAATTTTTGTATTTTTAGTAGAGATGGGGTTTCACCATATTGATCAGTCAGGCTGGTCTCTAACAACCGACCTCAAGTGATCGCCAGCCTCGGCCTCCCAAAGTGCTGGGATTACAAGCGTGAGCCACTGTGGTCGGCCTGATTGTTGTTTTTAAATCGTTTTTAAATCGTCATCCTAATGGATGTGAAGTGGTATCACATCGTGGTTTTGACTTGCATTTTGCTAATGATTAGCAAGGTGGAGCATTTTTCACACGCTTGTTGGCCATTTGTACCTATTCTTTGAAGAAAAGTCTATTGAAGTCCTTTGTTCATTTTCAAATTGGTCTGTTTGTTGTTGCTGAACTACAGGTCTGTAAATACTCTGGATTATTAGCTATATGATTTGCGGGCATTTTCTCCCATTCCAGGGGTGCGTTTCATTCTGTTGGTAATGTTCATCGATGTGTGAAAGTGTTTAATTGTGATGATGTCCAGGATTGAATATGGCTTTGAATTTTACAGCACAGTGAGTTCAACGGTACTTGGCCTCATCCAAGGCCAGCCTCGTGCTGGGATCTAGGGACCCAAAAGAAGACTCGGAGCTACCCCCGGCGTGGGCGGACTCACACACCAAGTCACACCTCAGTGACAGCACCTAAGGCACCCTCCAGAAAGCGCACACCCACGCACACAGGCACCCATGCACCCACGCACACACACACAGGAGAATGCAAGCAAAGCTACCTGAGAGGTCACGCTGACCTCACAACGTAGGGGACATGGAGGTCACGCTGACCTCACAACGGAGGCCGAGCCTGGAAGGAGGACAAGGGAGTTCCTAACCACATCAGGAAGTAGAGACAGGGCATCCTGCGAGAAGAATTAAGATCCTTCCTTTCCCAACTCCTCTCCTCAACCAAAAGGGATCCTGGGGCAACCGGGGCTCCTGGCAGAGGGCAGCTGTCTCAGTCCCACCTGAGAAACGGAAGTCACAATCAAAGCGTAACAGGGTTTACGAGGCAGCACTGGCGGGCACGGTGGCTCAGGTCTGTAATCCCAGCACTTTGAGAGGCCAAGGCAGTGTTCAGGACTTCAGCAGTTCGCTTGAGGTCAGGAGTTCGTCACCAGCCTGTCCAACATGGTGAGACCCCTATCTCCACTAAAAATGCAAAAATTCGCTGGTTGGGGTGGCGGGTGCCTGTGGTCCCAGCTACTTGAGAGGCTGAGGCACGAGAATCACTTGAACCCAGGAGGCAGAGTTTGCAGTAAGCCAAGATAGCACCACCTCACTCTAGCCTGGGCAATAGAGTGAGACCCTGTCTAAAAAACAAAACAAAACAAAACAAAAGCAGTCGGGACTGAAAAGAATGGGCCAGGGGGCCTGTTTCTACCCCCGGGGGCTGCAACTCCTGAATCTCGCTGAGGCTCAGCCCTGCCGTCCTGCTAGGCCCTGCAACCTTCAACCTTCAGGACCACGGACAAATCCCAGACTGCCCGTCCCCTGCCCTCCCCACCCCATCTGTAGAAGGGGATAATGATTCATTTGTATTCCTAAGACTATTGTTCCAACGATTAATTAAAAGGCGAGAGTATTTTTAACCATCTGTACTAATTTAGGGGAAGAATTTAGAAATATAATTGTATTATCTGTAACTGAGGAATTCAGACAGATCCCTCTCAGAAGCAGAATATTAATGTCTCAAAGAAACTCAGCAGCCTGTTCCACTCACGGCTGCTGTTCCTCCTCAATTAGCCAAATAAGCGAGGATGATTTCAGATGTTTGGCTGGTGGGGGAAGGACAGTCGGAGAGAAGGCCAGGCTTTTCACCCTAAGTTTGGAGAAGCTGGGGCTCCAGGCTGGGATTCAGCCCCCAGGGGTTGAGGGGGATGAATGTTCTGGACCTAAATAACACAGCAGGAAAATCAGGTCATCCTGGGCCTGGGGAGGGAGGTGTTGTGAGATACAGGCCAGGGGCCACAGGCTTCCACCCTACTGGCTTCTCAGAATTTGGAGTTGGTGACCCCAAACCTCTGTCCCCTTGGGGACCTTGGGAAATGGCAGCCCTTGGTGCAGCCAGATCAGTCCCGAGTTGAAGGACACAAAATAACCAACAACACAGGATGGAAGGAGGGGCTTGGTTAGGATGTAAGGAGGGGCTTGGTTAGGATAGAAGGAGGGATTATTAAAAACCCTAGATCCAAGATGGCTGACACTAGCAGCTCGGGATTGTAGCTCCCAGTGAAAGCGCAAAGAACGAGAGGACGCCACACCTTCACATGAATTCTTGTTGCTCACGCACCAGGAGATTCCCAGCGGAGGAGCCCCACGGGTCGCCAGTGCGACTCTTGTGACCGGAGAGGCGGTTTTGCTGGCGCCTTAGAGCATCTGTTCTTGGTGCAGAATCAGAACAGCACCATCAGTCTTAACGCCGCTGATTTAGTCGGCGCAGTGAGTTGCTCAGATTTCGGCGCTGAGAATCAATAAGTTGGACGCCCACTCAGAAAACCAATTACAAAGACGGTAAATACAAAGACCACAGATGGATAAACTTATAACAAAGGGAAGAAAACAGCCAAAAAAGGCTGAGAATACCCAAGATCAGAACGCCTCTCCCTCAGCAGGGGATCCCAGTTCCTCATCAGCAACGGAACAAGGCTTGATGGAGAATGAGTGTGTTCCAATTACAGAAGCAGGCTTCAAAATGCGGATAATGAGAAACTTCTGTGAATTAAAAGAACTTGTTCTAACCCAATCCAAAGAAACTAAGAACTTTGAAAAAAGGATTGACGAAATGTTAACAAGAATACACAAGTTAGAGAGGAATATAAGTGAATTGATGGAGCTGAAAAACACAATACGAGGACATCATGAAGTATGCACAAGTTTTAACAGCCAAATTGATCAAGCAGAAGAAAGGATATCAGAGGTCGAAGACCAACTCAATGAAATAAAACAAGAAGACAAGATTAGAGAAAAAAGGATAAAAAGGAACGAGCAAAGTCTCCAAGAAATATGGGACTATGTGAAAAGACCTAATCTACGCTTGATAGGTGTACCTGAATGTGACGAAGAGAATGAATCCAAGCTGGAAAATACGCTTCAGGACATTATTCAGGAAAATTTTCCCAGCCTAGTAAGGCAGGATAATATTCAACTCCAGGTAATACAGAGAACACCACAAAGATATTCCTCAAGAAGAGCAACTCCAAGGCACATAATCGTCAGATTCACCAGGGTTGAAATGAAGGAGAAAATACTAAGGGCAGCCAGAGAGAAAGGTCAGGTTACCCACAAAGGGAAGCCTATCAGACTTACAGCAGATCTCTCAGCAGAAACCCTACAAGCCAGAAGAGAGTGGGGACCAATATTCAACATCCTTAAAGAAAAGAACTTTCAACCCAGAATTTCACATCCAGCCAAACTAAGTTTCACAAGTGAAGGAAAAATAAAGTTTTTTGTGAATAAGCAAGCACTCAGAGATTTCATCACCACCAGGCCTGCTTTACAAGAGCTTCTGAAAGAACCACTACACATAGAAAGGAACAAACAGTATCAGCCTTTCTTTAAAAAATACCAAAAAGAGCATCAATATAATGAAGAATTTACGTCAACTAATGGGCAAAATAGCCAGCTAATATTAAATGGCAGTATTAAACTCACATATATTATTATTAATTCTAAATTTAAATTGACTAAATCCCCCAATCCAAAGACAGACAGGCAATTTGAATAAAAAACTAAAACCCATCAGTATGCTGCATCCAGACCCATCTCACATTCAAGGATACACAAAGACTCAAAACAAGGGATGGAGAAAGATTTACCAACCAACCAGAGAGCTAAGATAAATAAATAAAAAGCAGAAGTTACAATTAAGCAACAAAGATCAAAAGAAGCAAAGAAGGACATTATATAATGATAAAAGGATCAATGCAACAACAAGAAGAGCTAAAGATCCTAAATATATACGCACCCAATACAGGAATACGTAGATCAGTACCACATCATATCAACTTAGAAGTTTAAATGAAATGTTGGTTGGCTCCTTGTTTTTTTATTCTCTTCCCTCATTTTCTTTCATGTCTCCATTATTAAGGACAATTATAGGCATACCCATATTTAAATTGCATTCTAGCCCGGGCAATAAAGCAATACCTCCATTCTGTCTCCCTCTTCCTCTTTCTCTTTCTTCCTCTTCTTTATTCTTTTTCTTATTAAAAAAAAAAAAAATTCTTTCCCAAGGCTGATGTCCAGAATGGTGTTTCCTAGGTTTTCTTCTAGGATTCTTATAGTTTGAGAGCTCACATTTAAATCTTTAACTGATTGTAAAAAAAAAAAAAAAAAAGAAAGAAAGAAAAAGAGAAAGACAGTTGGGAAGGGAGGCTGTGGTAACTGTTCCTTTTACTTAAATGTCCTGGGAGTTGCAGCGGAGAGGAGCTTGTTCCTAAGGGAAGCTTTTTTGTTTTTCCAGTTGTCCCCAGTTCTACCTCCTGGCTTTGCCCATTCAGCCCCATCACCACATCTCTGGCTAAGTCCAGCCTGAGATAGTTGGCCTGCAAGCAGAAGATGGTTAAGGGTCACTGATGGCAGGAGGGTTCCAGGGTGAAAGATGGAAATCTCTTCCAAGTTCACCTCTCAGTCTGAAAAAGAGCAATCAGACTGAGAAGCACCTCTGTCTGTTTTCCTACTCCCCACTTAGACACAAAAATATAGCCTTTGTATTCCCTAAAGAGCTCCAACTCTTCTAAGTATATATT